GAGACTCACCAAGCCATTTATCTCTCTGCCCTTCAGTTAATCCCACTTGTGTTTATTGGCCAGGCTGGCACAATAAACTATCTCACTACTCCTGTTAACAATCTCGGAATCTCACGGGGACAGTTCTTCCCTGTCCTATAGGGTTGCTGTGAGTGGACATCGACCTAATGGAAGTAAGTGCGTCAGTGAGTGAGTAAGTAAATTTCAAGAATATAGCTAATGAGGAAAGTTCAAAACTCAGAATAAAAAGACACCCAGGATTCAAAAAGGTAGAGTCTGCTATGTACAGCCACCCTAGGTACGTTCCCTGTCTTGATGAGTGTGAGTTCAACCTTTTCAGTATAGATGTCTCCAGTATGCCAATCACATCTCTTCTTGCATGGCGCCAATTGTTTGGAGGTGTTTCTTTTTTTTAAAAACCTCTATAGTAATTAGGTTATCATGGACTAAATATTAACCATTCTTTATTTTAAATCTAAATTTTATTTATTATGCTCATTCCTGTATGGTTTATTGGTATTAGTTCATCACTTGAGGTTGAAGATGATATCATTAACAATATCATAATAAACTCTTCCTACTAAGTAAAGGCCTTAAGTTAAGATACAGATTGTGCCTGTACCTGATATAGCTAAGTTTAATTGTGTTCCTTGAATGTGAGCAGCCAGAAGCAGAGAGCACCTCTCCTGCTGCTTTTGCTTTGATTAGTGAATTTGCTCTGAGAAAAGGAGGTGAGGGCTCTGAAGAAAGGTTTTTGGTGCTGTTAGGATTTTGTGTCCAAAGAGGGATAATATATGTGGGTGGGACAGAGGAAGGTGATAAGTTCTTACTCATGATTAGTTCTTACAGAAATCACTCTTCTGGTAGATGGTGCAAGCTAAAGAGCCAGCTATGTGCTTAGGCCTGAACCCCTTCCCCCCTCAACTGTGGCGGCATCTGGGTGACCTTCCATCCAGGGTTATTTATTTTATGCTTTCAATTCCGCCATATGTGGGATATGTACCTGATATTCTGTACCACTCCTCAGATCCTACATCATTCATTCCAAGGTAGTAGGAGGGTCTTCAGCCAAGTTTCTTCCAAGTATAAAGAGAGTGGGCTACTTTCTACACAGAACTGATAAGTCCTTAAAAGAGATAAATATCTTGTCTTCTTTCTTTCCTTGGGGATCTGGGCCTGTGGAAAATAGATTGGAGATGTGAGGAGGAGCACATGCCACAAGAAATGCATAGTGGCGGAAGTGGGCACTAAAATAGATTGTGATCGCACAATTCTTGTTAAAGGTGATTTAACCATGGGGTGGGGTGGGGCGTTATTGCTCTAAAATTGTTGTGTTAGTGATTGTACAATTCTCCTTGATATGAATGAACTATTGAACTGTATGACATGTAAATTATGTGTTCATAAAACTGATGGAGGAAAAAGAAAAGAAATGCATCGTGTCATGGAATAAACTAGCTGGTGGACAGACAGTAAGAGAGAGCCCATGTTAACTACAGGCCAGCCAGGGAGACTGGTTCTTAAGAGTGTGAATTTGGAGTTTTTACTACCAATTCTGGAAGACTGTTGTCAGGTTTACACTTTTCCTGCACTTCACCATCACTGGACAGTCTGATCTTTGCATTTCAAGTTTGCTGATTGTCTGGCTTCTGTCTTTGCTTGCCATTGTCCTCTTTATTGTTCTAACATCCTTTGGGCACAACTGTGCAGCTTAACACATACAGTAGTTCTGCTGTTCCTGGGTTCTTAGCTTTGGGCCCAGTCTTTAAGTGGAATTGCTGATGTACCTTCTCAGGCTCTTGCCTTAGACAAGATGTTGCTCAGACAACATTTTGGTGGGTGCAGAAATGACAAGTAATAATCCTATGGTGGTGGTTTGGGGGGAAGGGAGCAGCAGGATGTCTAGGGTAAGGGTACTTTCCTTTGGGGAAAATTGCTTTTCTTACTACAACCTAAAGGAAATTGCACTTTTTTTGTTGTCGTTTTATTTTGTTCTTACCTACCCACACGACACTTTTGTGTAAACTGAGCTTGTAATGGGAAGAAATACTATAAGGCCAGGCTGAACTTCTCTCTTGTGTAGATATCATTGCTCTTACATTCATGACCTCCTTCTAGTTGGTTTTGGCCCCGGATCTGTCCTGTAAAGAACACTCTAAATTTTGTCATTTGAGCTCTTAAATGCCTTTTCCAGATCTGTATTCATTGCTTTAAGGGATATGAACCGGATACTCAAAGAAGATTCAGGCAGACAGTGCTATCTCTGATGCAGAACAAGGTTTGCCAGGTTGTCCTCAGCCTTTTGGACAAACTGGACAAGCTGTTGCAGCTCCTGTCATACTGCAATGTGGCTTCATCCTTATTGACAGATGTAACATGAAAAGATTTTGTCAGATGGCTGACACTTATCAAAGATAAGAATGAGGTTGCCAACTCTAGTACTCCC